GGATACAAACCAGGAAAAAGCACTTTGTCAAGGGGGTTATTTTGACCAAACTCAAAGGAGGTTGGAGCCAGTTTGGGGTTGGTCTCTTCTCCCAAGAAACAAGTCACAGAACAAGAGGAAGCAGCCTCAAGCTGTGCCAGAGGAGGTTCAGGTTGGATACTGAGGAAAATTCCTTCCTGGAACGTGCTGTCCAGCCCCTGGCACAGCTGCCCAGGGCAGGGGTGGAGTCCCCATCCCTGGAGGGATTCCCAAGCCCTATGGATGTGGCACCTGGGGACAGGGGTCAGTGGTGGCCTTGGCAGTGCTGGGGGATGGTTGGAATCGTCTATCCAGGCCCACACTGGAGGAACTCAATCCCGAGGGACAGCAGAAGTGCTGCCGGGAGAGTGTTCCAAACATACAGAGGTTATGGCTCGAGCCAAACGCTCTTCAAACCCCCAACCCTCCCTAAAAGGCTGCTGGAGCTCCGTGGGGCTGTTGTCCGACCCTGTTTACAACTCGGATTGTAACCCTAGAACCACCCAAAAATAGCAGGAATCCAAACAGCCCCAGAGAGGGAGGGACCGAGGCACTGAGGTACTCGGGAGCAGGTTGAAAAACAATCAGCCCTGTTCTCCTCCCAAGGAACTTATTTTGCCGTCGCCACAGAAAAAATGGGGGAAAATATTCCCAGCAAACCTTTGCCCAGCACCAGGATTCCCCAAGCCACTGTGCTTTTCCTGACAGGGTTTATTGCTGCTTTTCTCGTTGGAGCGATACAACTCTAATTATTCCTATTAAAATAAAATTAGTTATCCACAGAAAAACATGCTCAGAATATAACTGACAACCTTTCGGCTCCTCAGGAGACAAGGCTGTGAGACAACGGATGCTTCCATGGGAAGGAAACCTCCCAGTCAAGAGTCAACACCACTGAAAGCTTGACCAGTCATTCTTATATTCAAATTATTCCCAAAGGATTCCCGATTCAAGCCAGGCTTTGTGGGCAGACACCCTGGACTGGCAGCTCCTGCAGGTCACCACCCGCCGTGGACGGTGTTGTTGCCCCAGTAGAACATCCCTGGATTTGAACAGGGATCCGGGCACGGGGGATGAAAGGAAAGTTGCTCCTGACCAATTCTAGAGACGAGCATTCGTCGTTCCAGAAAAGGAATGTCTGCTCCTGGTTTTCTCCAGAAACAGTTTGGGGCGTAAGGAAACCCCAGTGACAGGACAGGGCCTGCAAAGACATCTCCTGGTAGGTGGAGCTCAGTCCAGAAGCCTTGGATCACAGCCAGAAGTATTTTTAAAGACAAAGTGCTTTTTAAAAAAAAAAAAGAGGATAAAGTGCCTCTCCTGAAACGGGGCAGCTGCCTCACAACTGTGCCAGAGGTCCCTCTGATGTCCTGTCAGCCACCACTGCTGGAGGAACTCCGGAGGCAGGAGGAGCTGGAATAGCTGAGCTGCACCACCCCAAACCAGCAGCAAACGACACAAACCGAACATAAACCCCACAAACTCAACACTAAAACAACGGGGACCGAAATTTGAAGGTAACAATTCATAACTCGAGCCATAAACCCCACGTGGGTGGGTCATCCCAGCACAGACACCGTGCTCTGCCACCACCAGCAGTTTAATGGGGGCTTTAAACCGAGCCCAAAATAAAAAGCCCACGCTTAAAACAATGAGGAACAGCAGCATGAGTGGAGAACCCCCCTCACACAGACAGGCCCGGGGTTATTTGTGACCTTCATCCCTCTGATGAGTTCAGTTCAGGGGCTGCACAAGACACAGACTGAACGTGGAGGTGAGCACTTATCTGCTGGAATGTTCAATTATGATAATAAATCACAATAAACCATTTTTACTAACTCATCCAACACCTCATTCACCTGTTCAGATCAGCAATAAATATGAGAATAATTGCAACGGCTTCTTTGGTGGTTTAAGCCATTTTAAAAGGAGGCAGGGGCGTGGGTTTTAGAGGAAGAAGGGCAGATTCCCTAGAGGGAATTACCACTGCAGGTTTGATAAGCAAACCCCTTGATTGATTAATATCTCAGTCACTACCACGACTCATTTAAAAGCACATTAAATGAGTTAAATTCAATGCGAAATTTTAAATCTTATTTTTCCATATTCTGTGGGAAAAGTCTTCCCTTGCTCATGGAGAGGATTTTGAGGCCTACACCTCAACCTGATTAAAAAAAAGGGCTTTTTTTTTTTCTAGTGAAACATCTGCCCCTCTGGAAACTGCAGGAGGTTTTGGACAGGACTGGCTTTCCAGGAGCGCAGACATCGACTCCTGGAGAAGGTGACAAAGGTGATTTAAGAGAGCAGTTTGCAGCCCTCCTGTGAAGGCTGAAGTGAACATCTGATTTCATGTGTCACAGAGATGTGGTGACTCGGGCACTCAGAGGAACAACAGGAACCAGCTCCTGTTCCACAGCGTCCTCCCATGGCACAGAACGAGGGTAACGACCCTCTTAATTAGGACGGGGAAAAATCAACCCCCACACCCCCAGTCTCAGCACGGAAAGGCCTCAAATGGACTGTGGAGAGCAATCCCAAAATCCCTTCTGTTTATCAGGATCTTGCACCAAGGAGCAAACACATCCCGCTGCGGGGAAACCTTCATGGAAAAGGAGCAAATGGGGTTTCACAGATATTTGTCAGGCAGAAACCTCCCGTTTGCTGCCAAAAGCCACCGGTTGGTGGTGTGACGGGGCCCCGTTTCCTGACATAGGATGGCATTTGAAACGGGCCCTTTGGGCAGCTTCATTTCCCATATTTAGCACCGAATATGGAAAATATTTTCCATCAGGAAACTACAGGGTGAACACAAGGATGAGGTGGGTTCTGAGCCTCCCTGAAGACTCTTCTCAAGCTTTGGCTCCAACAAGTAACACCACAGTGGAACCAACCATGGAGACACCATGGAAAAAGGACACATTTAGCGCAAGGAAAACCACGGGAAGAGCAACCACCACATCCCAGCCTATTCCAGTCGAGTGTAACCCAAAACTGGAGGTCAAACTACACCATAAAATCACAAAGCCCGGGCTGGAATTCCCATTTAACATTCCTGTGCTTCCCCCCGGGCTCTGCAGGGCTCACATGAGGCAGAGCTGACTCTCCCAGGATCCACCAGTAACACCTGGGCCAGAACTGTCTTCCCTACAATTTTTTTTTGCAGGATGTACAGCTGGACAGGAATTTAGGAGAAACACAACACGTGACAAATGCCATTCTCCAAGGTAATACTCTGTCACCCTAAAGGACCTCCCAGAAATCCCGACTCCAAACCCTTCTCCTTCCACCTGCACAGCCCAGGAGCCGTTCTAACGTCGCTTTAATTAAGCCACTTACTCATCTTTAGTCGACTGAGCTTTTTTAATTAACAGGCAAAGTGGTCTTTTAAGAATTCCTAACCCAATAAGCACGAGTGCCCCGTGCTGCTGGCTCACAGCATTCCTGGCGTGGCAGGAAGGCACAGCCCTGGCTCCACACCATGAGATTACTGCGGGATGGACGAGGTGCAAATGTTCCCTCTTTTAATCCTCTTTTATTGAGAGAGAGGATTAGAGGTTATGCTGGACTACCACAGAAAAACAGGGTGTGGAGGGGTGTTGTGTGGAGGGGCTGGAGCAGGAGGGAGGGGATGGGACACTGTGCTCTCAGCCCAACAGCACTCGGGGG